ACATTGGATAAAGGGGAAGAAGGTAAGAGTCAGTGTAATCCTGAATTTGTTTATGAAGGGTTTTCATTCTTGCCTTTAGAACAGCCCTTCTAAAATGATCAGTGGTTTGTTTTGAACTTGATTATGTAGTCATGAATATTTATATTTGTGCAGTGTATAATTGTATAATAGCGAGGACTGGTGGCTGTTATGGTTTCTTCCTGATTAATTCAGGAAGAATTTCAATATGGATTTGTGCAATGTTACAAACGATGTCCATGAGTTGATGTGCTGATGATTTCATTTCAGAGAATCCCAGACCAGGATGTTTTATTAATCCATGTGGTAGGTAACAACTTTTATCCTAAGCCATGTGTGATAGCTTGGAGACATGTGGGATATTGGGGAGAAATAAAACACAGAGCTAAGAAGAACAGGATGTCTCAGTTCTTTACATGGATATCTGTGCTGATTGTTGGCAGTGTTGTTTTGTGACTGCTCATGCAACTGGGCAGCAATCTTAGCTGGCTGGGAAGTACTAAAATAATGCTTTGAAACAAACTGTGATTTTTTTTTTTTTCTTGAATGGTTCAAGTTGAAAGTTTTTGGAAGCAGCCATAATGGAGAAACATTATTTCAATCATTAGAAAAGGCAAAGAGCACTAGAACCTCATGAGTGGTGGCAATAAACCTCCCTTGCTTGGTTAGTCATTCAAGAAGTTTGGACAGGAAAAGGTTTGCTGGTTTTGGGTTTAGTTTTTAATCCAAATGCTGAGGGAAAACAAGACTGCCATGTACATGTTTGAAAAGCTTTCCTGTCTTTATGGAATTAATTTCTTGAACATACTAAAAGACAAATACAGAATTAACAGTGTGGCAGTACATCTTTCCCTGTGGTGTCCCTGCTCTGGGCAGCTAAGTTAGCTCATGTTCTTTTGTCCTGGAGTGTTGTGTCCTGCCAGGCCAAACCTGGAGAGATCCTCCCAAGAAATACCCTAATATTGCTTGGCACACAACTTTATCATCAAGATCAGATTATACATAGTAAAATCACACTTTGGATATTAAAGGAAAACCAGGCATCTATGTCAGCAGTTACTTGTGTACTCTTCTCAGAAGTTTGTTGTTCCTGAAACTTGTAATGAAGCTTTGCAGAAGGAAAGAATCACTTTGGCCTGACTTTATGTTAGTGCCTCTAGGCACGATCTCAAGTAAATTCAGTAAGGTAGACCTAGATGATGTGGTTTTTAAATCCTTTAATATTCACGTGGAGGTTTTAGAGGTCAGTCTCTCTGCCAGTCCCTCTACTGCTATGTGAGCTCGGGTGTTCCCTCTGTCCTCCAAGGCAGCCCCAGCTCCTTGCTCCAAGCTTGCTCAGCTCACTGGCCTTGCAAGGAGGAAACATTCTCCTGAACTGGCTCCAGGTTTCCAAGTGAGGAATGGGCAGGGCAGGACATTGCTTCTTTTAGTAGCAGAATTTTCCAGGCAGGAGTTCACCTGCAAGCAACTGGCTGTACAATTCATTTTATTACTCCATTTTTTACACTCAGAATCAAAGTGATTCACACAAGACAAATGAATCTTCCGTTCATTTATTCACATTTTCCATGGATTTTTGTACATGTCCTCAGTGTATCAGAACTCATGAAAACATTAACATACACGTTATGTAAAACTTAAGTATCCACTGAAAAATTCAGAGCATTTTGAAATCTACTAACAACTAACAAATCATCACATTCAGCATCTTCATTGGATTTAGACTAGCTCATGCCACTTTAAATTGTTTAACGTCAGTTAATTTCTGCACACAGGCACCAGCTACAAAATTTTATCAAATGCAAATAAGTTAAGGCATCAGAAAGTCAATCTTTAATGGGAGTTTAAATGTTACAGTGCTGCAAAGGGAGCTGAATTTCAGTTTCAGTAGCACAGCAAAACTCCTGATTGGTTTATGTTCTACAGTATGTTCATTTGAACTGTAAATATAATATAAACTTTCACATCCATCAACCAAAAGGGCTTAGAGGAACAGTGTTGCCCTCCCAAATTAAAGCTTGCATACTGCAACTTAATATTTTAAAATAAAATTCAAGCCAACTATAATAATCTCCCTTAGAAATTATTCTGATAATTAAAAGAAGCAGAGATGTTTCTTTTCCAGCTGAAACTGCAAAATTAGAGGAGGAGCAATGAATAAGACACTCCAACATCTACATACACCTGGAACAATGAAGGCATTAATGCAAATTGGGACAGAAACTTGCATCTTTAACATCAGGTATCTGATATCCAGCTGTTAAACACATTGCCAACCAAGACACAGGAATCCCTCCTGGAGTTGGAATTGTGATCAAGATTCTTTTCTTGGATAGCATGTGCCAGTTTGTTATGAAGGCAGTAGTACACTGATGTCTGTGGTCTCCATGAAATTTGCTTTTTCATTTAAGGCCTTTATTTCTATTTAACAATCTCTGGCCTTTTACAGCATTTCTATATTTTAGTATTCCTTAAATAGAAACTGAAGCATCATCAAAAATTTCTAAAGTGCTGGAAAAAGCTGTGCTTTATACCTGAGCACCAAGTTTGTCAGTGTATGACTATCTTTTCCTGCTTCATAGTCCACATAATGGTATGATCACCATGAATTCATGTTGATTAAAATCTGATTTGCAGAGAAATGATTCCCTGTCCTTTCAGAGGCAATTTTCCCCATGTAAAATGTTCAAAATTCTATGTTTATGCATATATTTGACATTCTAATCAAGGTGACATCCCAATTTTTTACCTTCCCCTGGCTTTACTGATGAAATACATTCACAGCATTCAGGTGTTACTTGCTACGATGACTAGGGTAAGGTTTAATTCTTTCCAACACAATTTATTATTCTTCTACTTATTTTTCCATTCACTCTGTGCCCTCTGCTTGGCCAGAGGCGTATTGTCAGAATTGGACCACATCCATGTGTGCAAAACCTAACAACTGCCCCTCTTTAGAGGCAAGCATAAGGAAAGAAGTGTTAAGTTCAGTTTGTTAGTCCACGTTTCTAAGGATGAAGGAACAGTTCCAAATCCATGAGCTTTTGGAAGTCAGCAAAGAAAAGGCCAAGCTTTTATAGACAAGGCTTTTCTTTATGGAATGTACAACCAGAGCACTGTCTATAAAACTTTCTGTACAGAGACAGGGTTAAGACACTACAGTCAAAAGACAAATGCAAAATTAACTGAGCCCTTGGAGCAGAGCCTGGACTAAACTGTTAGGCAGAATTCTGTTTTTCATTCATACACATTTAGACACACCCTGTCAGCTTTGGACCTCCAATTTAGGTAGCAGCAAGACTTTTTTGTTTTTAAAAAAAGCATCTTATTTTGAGGAAAGCAATGTCACTGACTTTAAATGGTTTAAGTAATTAGCCAGATGCAAAAAGAAACCCCTAAAGGCACCAGTTTATTTTTCAAATATCTCAAATGGCATCTAAGCTCTCTTCACACTCCACTGTTAAAAATGCAATTCTTGTACACTCTGCGTGGCTGAAATGTGAGTGAAGGCCTTTCTTTTGCAACTTTGGTCAACAGGGCTATAGATAAAATAATGATCTTCCTCCTTTTAATGAAGAGGGGGAAAAAGGCCATAACCTGAATTGTGCAGTGAATTAGGCCTAGAGGCAGCCTTTAGCTCCCCCCCAGAGCAGGGGTACAGGTGAGATGTGCTGCACCTCATCAAATGGTGTTGGTATTTGTTCCCTGCCCACAGGATGCCACTGTGCTGGATTACCAGGTCCCCTGTATGAATTGTGTCACGCTGACTTTGTTTAAGGAAAGGGGTTTTTCCTCTGTGTCACATTAGCCAGAGGCAAAAAGCATGTTTGTTCCATCTTCCCAGAGCTGGTCAGTGCAACACATCTGAGAGCAGTTCAAGTTTCATATTATCATCAAGCTCTTGGAGCAATCCCAGAGTTGGAAGCAAAGTAGAAAAAGTTACTAGGGAAGGAGATTCCAGCAAACATTTGGAAAAAAAAAAGTATTAAACCACCAAACACAGTTTGACAAAGTTGAGAGCAAAACCAAGACCAGAATGAATGTTCTGATCTCCAAATTATTGCCACCTGGTTAATTTTATCACAGCTGAAAACTAAGTTTACAAATTACCCCATGCTCCCCACATGCAACAGAAAGCTTCTGGCAAAGCTGCACCCTGCTGCTTAATGCAGTGCAGCATAGCATTTTATCACATGGAAAAATACATACTGACATGCACCCTTGTGCATGTGTCTCCTGGCAAGGGCAACAGGCAACAGAAAGGTCTTTACAAGTCCTGAAGTTTGTTGGTGGGAAGAGCTCTCTTCAGTAAAGTACCAGCAGCAGGAGCAATGCAGCACATCCAGCTCTGCCTCAGCTGGGTTTTGGGACTAAGGACAAACACCTCGGAAGGACCATGTGGAAGTGCAACCCTTTCTTTGCCTCTGACCTGTCAGAAGCCAGGGGATGCCAGTGTGTCCAAGGTAAAACTGTCTTCCAGTTGTCTGCTTGTACTATATTGCACATCATTTGCTTGTTGCTACAGTAAGAACAGAACTGACAGTTCCCCTGGAGGAACCACTACTGTTAACAAGACTACACAAGCAAATTCTCTTTTCAATATCTGCAGTCTCCGAGTCCTGAAAGCACACAGGTCTGCAAGGGAACAGACCCAGCACGATGGGAGATCCTCACTGGTGCGGTGCAGTAACGTCACTGAGTCTAAACAGTCAGTCTCACCAGAATACAACAGCCCAATTAAAAATCTGCAGCCTAGAAACAGTTGCAACAGGTAAGCTCGAACATCCTCCCTTCCCAAAACAGGAGGTGGTTGCATTGTATTACAGTCTGTAAGGAAGCTCTGGTACCATGTTCTTGTACTCAGATTTCTGTCCATTTGGTTGACTGGTGCTAAAAACATATGCTTGGATTTACATCCATGTGCTTTATCCAGAAGACATCCTGCATTTAGATACTGAAAATGAGGGAGCACAGTCCAACACTTGTGTTCTATTAAAGCTTTTATTAGCTAGTTTAGCTTTTCCTCACATAATTTTTCCAGAATTCCTATAACAGTTCTTAATATCAGAGTAAAGAATTAAATGTTCAAGTGAAGTTACGGAAGAAAAAAAAGAGCAGCAGCAGTTTGGCAATAATTCCTCAAATGATGGACTGCAACTTATTTAAGCCTCCTTTTTCTCCAGTAAGATTTTGTGCAACTCATCTGCATCCTCACTTGTTTTCACTCTTATTAGCATAGTGACAGGAACAGCTGGATTCTTCTCATCGATCGGTGGGTTAGGAACACAAACTATAAGAACATTGTTTTTCCCGGTTCTTGTACATGGCATCTTAGGTGGAATTAGAACATTCAACAGTATATTTCCTGCATTTGAGGAGGGGAAAAAATTATCATTAGCCATTTTCTAGCTTTTACTGCAATACAGTGCTAGTATAGATACTAACTAGAGATTTAGGGTGGTGTTTGGAAGGAAGGCAATTCACAAACATCATGTACGTTTGTCTTCTTCTTTCCTAAGCATCTATTCATGGCCATTTTTCTCAGATTTCTTTCCTCACTAGAAATGAGAAAATCTATGCAAATACTGCGTCCTCTTTTTTTAAATGGAGGAACCTGAATATCAAATGATAGTAGGGGGACACAGGAGAAAGGGAAGGGGACAAGGGAGAAGCAGCAAATGAGGAATCCAGTCACAGTGCTTAGTTTATGCCAAGTTACTCTTCTGACCACCTGATGCAGTTCATATGCACAAGCAAAATGTTCTGATAGAGACAGACATGTTAATCTGAACAAACCAGGGTAAAACAGATCGAACATACACCATAGCCTTTCACTTCTTGCACTGGTTCGTGTGCTCTCTTTTGTAATGCTCACTAGAGGCATCCAAGTGTTTGTAATGATTTAGGAAAGAAAAGTAGAAAGATTTTCATTAATTGTATCTGTTAGTGCTGTGTAAAAAAAGACCAAAAAAATCCTAATGCTTAGCAAGGAATTCTGACATCAAAACTTGTTACAGGGATAAATGTACTTACCCAAATTGGTATCTGCTCGTACTAAGAGTTGAGTTTTTTCATTTCCTGCTGGTTTTAAATGTAATGTTCCTACACCTTTTTCTTTAAATTCATTATCTTTTTTGTAGAACAGTTTGCACCTGTGGAGAAAAAAAAATAAAACCCAAGTCTTTGTTTGTGCAGCCATCTAGAGATGAAATAAAAAGATACCTCCCAGATACACACTGTTACTGTGAGTCAGTATCCATCTGACTCACAGTAACAGTAATCAGGATTTAACAGGCTGTGAGTAACCTAAATCTTTATTACACTTGACCTTGTTTCACGTGCTAACAGACTTGAAAAATCAAAGAGAAAGTGAATTATTTCTTTCAGAAATGAAATGATAAACGTCTTACTTTCAGGGAAGGTACAGCAACCTGTACTCAGGGCCTGTGAGGAGCAATAAATGTAGGCTATTTTAAAAAAACTAATTAGGAAGCCGTAAGAACTGGCTGTATCATTCTGAAGTTTTAATAGGACTTTAATGTACAATTTATAAACATTTTTAACTGAGGCTCTAATGGCCCTAAAGCCATTTTAATAAGGTAGCACACACTTTTCAGATACAGCTAATGACTTCTTGTAGCAGGACAAATTCTGTGCTGCGTGTCAAGCAGACATGCAATTACTTGGGCTACTGAACATGCTTTGAAAAACTGCAAAACTTACAAGTTCATATTCTATGTGGATTCATAAGAAGTTTTATTTATTAGGAAGTCAGGGCCATGTCATTAGTTATGCACTGCAGTGGTGAAGAATAGCAATACACAGGTACTAATTTTATTTTCCGAGTTAAAGTCACTTACTTCTTTGAGTAGAAAGCATCATCTTCTTTTATTTCATTAACAATGACTTTTGGTGGCTCTTCTTCCTCCTCTTCTCCTCCTTTAAATAGAAAGTTTTAATATGTTAATGTTGTGAGCACAGATTTTGGCACTCTATCAGAAGTCCCTTATGCCCACCATGGTTGGCAGGGACATGTGGCTGGTCAGTGACAGCCAGAACACCTTTCAGCCCATGTGTACTCTGCAGCAGCTTCAGCTACAAAAAAAAGTGTTACTTGCTTTTCATTCAGCTCTTAAAGCAACCTCATCCTACCCTTCAGTTTAAGTGGGATCAAAATACCCAATCCATATCAAACAGACACCAACAATATAAAGCTTAGTAAGCCAAAAGCTTCTGTTTGAACGGAAAGAGTTTTCACATTTCAAAGAGTATGCTCCACAAATGGGTTCAAGTAAAGCACAATTAATACTTCCAATTTCCAGGTTTAATTAGGGGGATGGGAATTAGTTGCAGAATGACAGATAAGAGAGTGGCAGATGATGCCTTTCTAGCCTCTCAGCTACTGGGATTTCTATCAGCCTATTGATAGACTGACAGACCAGAGTAAAGCTGTCAGGTACTATGTAACTTTGTTGGCCTCCTTACAATCTATTAAGTAAATGGACTAAACTGTTCTGTATCTGATGCTTTTTACTGCAGGGATCTCTTGATAAACCTACTAGGAAAAGCAGTGGGATCGAGAAGTCCAGCAGGCTCAAAGGTAAACATACCAGCTGCTTTAAATTTCATCAATTGCTATCCTCACATATAGGATTATATTGTATATTATATTGTATTATATTATGTACAAACCTGACAGCAGTACGTAAGTCTTGATAAGCACATACTTTTGGTGTTGCTTACATAAGGCTGGGTTCTCACGATTAGGGGTGTAATTCTGTACTTTCAAATTTAAGAATGATGATGATCACAGAATATAGAATTTCCTGAGTTGGAAAGGACCCAACAGGATCACTGAGCCCAGCCCCTGGCCCCGCAGAGACACCCCGACAATCCCACCCTGTGCATCCCTGAGAGCGCTGTCCAAATGCTCCCGGAGCTCTGGCAGCCTTGGGACCTGACCATTACCTGGGGAGCCTGGGCAGTGCCCGACACCCTCTGGGGGAAGAACCTTTCCCTGATATCCACCCTAAACCTCCTCAGACACTACACCATGCCATCACCTTAGTGAACTTAAGAATACTAAAAAAAATGCAATATTAAGTCACATACATTCAGTGACCATTAAAATAACTATAACAAAAGCTGACCATTAAAATAACTATAAATAGAAATAAACTATAAAAGCTGACCATTAAAATAACTATAAATAGAAATACATAGAATTTACCTTTGTCATCACTATTGCCACTGTCTGTCTGAGCTTCCAATAAACTGGTGGATGCTGCAGTGACAGACTTGGCCTGGTTTGCATCTTTTCCAAACAAACCTGAATTCCCAGGAGAAAATGAGAAACCACTAAGTGCTCCTGAGCCAAGGGAACACAAAACAGGACTGTCAACACTCTTGCCAAAATTAAATGAGACGGCTGACGTAGCTCCTAACAACGGGTCTCTTTTTTCTGACGAAGCTTCGGGTTTTTTGTCCGGGGTATCCTCAGTTTTGTTAAACAAGAAGGTGGAGCCTTGCTGGAGCTTGGAGCTCCCGAAGACAGGAGCAGCCTGCGGGCCGGGGGTCTTGCTGCTTTCGTTCTCGGGGCTGCTGTCGGTGCTGCCGCCGTGCTGCTGCTCGATGCTGGCCAGATAGCGCTCGTAGTCCCTGAAGATGGGGCTGAGGTCGCACAGGGGGTTGGAGTTGACGTGCTTCACGATCCAGTCGCGCACGGAGCAGTTGAGGGCAGCCAGCTGCCTGTGGTAGGAGCCGGCGCCGCGCGCCGCGCCGGCCGGGCAGGGCTGGCTGCCGCCGTTGGCTGTCGGGCTGACGGCCTTCTTCTCGGCAAACACGGCAGCGCCGGGACCGTTTGACACTGGGGATCCTGTCACAAGAAAAAACACAGATTATGTAATATCCTGAGCGGGAGGGACCCACCGGCATTACTGAGTCCAGCTGCTGGTCTCTTGCCCAGGACACCCCGACAATCCCACCCTGTGCATCCCTGAGCGCTGTCCAAACGCTCCCGGAGCTCTGGCAGCCCTGATATCCAACTTAACTCATTTGGTTAATAAGCTCTGGTTTTAAAAAATAACAAAACAACATAGATATTTTGCTGACCTAGTGAGAAATGTGGCGTAGAACCTGGTTTTTTTACCCAGAAAGCACAGCTCTCTTAAAAGCTAAATATGCACAATATTTCTTAATCAAATCACTCATCCTTACTCGGCTGAGCTCCTCCTTTTGGGTCACCTCACTGTGCACCAGGTACTCCCGTGCCAGTGAGCAGACCTAAGTTTTCATTTAGACAAGTAACTTAGGGATAGGCAAAGTAGATGGAGCACACTGGAGTATTTTTAAAAAATCCAAAGACATCTTGTACAGAACATTAAAAAAATACATGTTTTAAATATTGCCAAAACCTTCAAAATCTTACAAAAATCTAACAATTTCAGTAAGCTGTAACACTTATTACATCAAAAAAGTCATCTCTTGCCATTTGTGCTTTAAAACATCCTGAGTGCACTAGCCCATAATTTTACAAGCCTTTGAGCATTTCTGTATAAAAATCCCTAAAAAGCAAACTAGAAAAATTCTCATTGAATATTTCAGTTTCTCTTAATTTATTCAAGCTCTGAATAAATTGAAATCCAAGTCACACTAAAGTTCAAATTTCTGTTCTATGGCATGGTGACTCCAAAATTCTGTGGTGGCAGGGTTAACATTTCTGCATGTCCAGCACAAAGGGACAGAACTAATATTCCTCAGGGAATTCCAAAGCATGACAGCTCAGCATGCCAAAGTATTTCAAATGTCTTAAAATGTAGGTATAACTGTAACAGGTAAGATTCTTGTAAGACTGTCTGCAACACCAGATGTACAAGAAGAAAAGATGAAGACTTTAGCTATGCAGCATGTATTTTTTTGTTTAAATTTAAATTGGGACATGTTACCAGATGCTTTATGCCTTTTACAGACTGCCTTATGCGAGTGCCTTCCATTTCCATCTGTGCCTAGAAAACGTTTACCTCCAGTATTAGAAATATTAATTTAGTTGCCACCTCTTTAAATTGCATGTGAAAACTTGTCCCTCCAGCACTCCAAAATAATAAGAAATGTTACAAAGAGGTAGATAGTCTCAAAACCTTAAAACACTACTACAACATGGTCTAAATTTGTTTTTTCACTGCTAAAATAACCCTACAAGTTTTATGACTGAAGGTGTTGATAAATATGTATGCTTATTTAAAACTTACCAAATGCTGATTGTGTTTCAGAGGTGCTCTTCAAACTGCTGAAAGGAGGAGTACTAGAGACACTACTGCTTCCATTAGACAGCCCTTCCAAAGGCTTTATTCCTGCACCATTCCCGAATCCACTGAAGCCACCTCCTCCTTTCCCAGAAGGCAATACAAAGCCTTTAAACCCTTTAAAAGCTCCTCCACTTTCAGACTGGGGAGAAAAAAAAAAGAGAGACAGTTACATACATCTTCTCCATGCAAATCCTGTCCCCACTTAATATTGTTGATATCCTTGGTTTGTTTTTCCCTAGTTCAGCATGTCATTCCATGCATTACTGTGTCAGCTACGCAAACAAAATTAACAGCTTCCTTATGACACACAGTGCTTCTGTTTTTAACAGACTCAGATGTTTGGTATGAAAATAAACTGGATCTAGGATGTGGATACATGGAAGTTGCTCAGAGCTGTGGATGTGTTTGACTGCCTATTAGACATTCACAGTATCTTGTTTTCTTTAACTACACAGGATTATGTAATTTCAGGTTTATTTTCAACAACTTTGAGCATTTACAATGGCAGTCAAGAGCCCAATACTTTAATCCACTCATCACTCTGGAAACACCTGTGAAACCTCTTCTGATTTACCCAAAATACTCCAATGTGACTGATGGAAGATGCAAAGACAAACCGTACTTGACCACAAAATATCTGTATCTGCAAACTTTTCATTACCCAGTTCTAATCACTGTCTTTGCAACCGTATTATTTTATGGTATAGTTTCTTACGTGTTTCTAAAAGACAAAGTACAATTAACATGCAAATAAAGAACTGCAATTTTAAGGCCTTTGGAGGTCATGAACTTTTACCACTCAAAGTGAACTTTCAGTGTCTCTGGAAAACCATCAGATGAGAACTGCTTCTGAGTTTCATCTGCTTTTGAAGAAATGGCAAAGCTTGTCCATTCCAGTATCTGACCTTGTGGTTATGGGTCTCCAGCACAGTCCTCTGCTTCACATTCCTAGGTAAGCATTTTTATTATGTTTCTCTCTGATCAGTCCCACCTTTCTCTCTGAATATTCCAGTTAAACTGCTGTCTTTTTCACTGAAGCATTCTGCTTACTCCATGTAGGAACATCAGCAAGTTTACCTTTCTGTAAATATTTCACAAAGTTTCTTACACAACTTTAGCTGTCCTGTCATCTCTTCTGCATTTTAGATTTTGTCCAGCCTGTTGTCCTGGTTTTGGTTGGGATAGAGTTAATTTTCTCCCTAGTAGCTGGTACAGTGGTGTGGTTTGAATTCAGGGCGAGAAGAATGTTGATAACACAAGGATGTTTTAGTTGGTGCTGAGCAGTGCTCACTGCAATCAAGGGCTTATCAATGTCTCATGCTCTGCCAGCAAGCAGGACAGAAGGGGTTGAGAGGGAGCATGGCCAGGACAGTGACCTGAACACAGAATGTCATGGCCAGCACGGAAACTGGGAGGGGCGGTGGCTGGGAGCAGCTGATTGCTGCTTGGGCATGGGATGAGGTCAGTGGGTAGTGAGCAACTATCCTGAGCATCACTGCTTTTTCTGGGTTTATTTCTTTCCCTTTTTTTGGTTCCCTTATCATCATGATCATTATATTTCAATCACTAAACTGTCCTTATCTCAACCCAGGCTTTCACCCTTTTTTCCATTCTCCTCCTCATCCCACTAGGAGGAAAAGTGAGGGGCTGCATGGTCCTTAGCTAGCTGTCAGCTGGAGCTGAAGTATACCAGCCCTTCTACCAGCTCTAACAGCCTGCTTCCAGTCTCCTGACTACTTCTACAACCCATCTGATCCCCTTTCTCAGCCTGTTCTATTTTTCCTATTCCATTTGCCCCTGAATCTCTCCTGCTCAAGTTGTATTTATGTTTTGTATCACCTCCTTTCAATACAATCCTTTATTTAACTGTATCCTCTACCACATTTGTGGCTAAAACTACTCAAGGCATTAGTGAGCTAAAACAGCTTCCTCATTTACAGTGCTTGGACTGAAGAAGGAAAATCAAAAGCATAGGAGAAGGCTCTCTAGCTCCTAACTGTGCCTAGTCCCACCAAGTCCTAAAGCAATCTGTGTAACACATAAAGCTCCAAGCCTATTTCTAACATGATGCATACCCTGTTCAAAGGATGTCTGGGAAAAAAATATACACAACAAAGCATTTCTCAAGGATTCCTGAAAGGACAACAATTTGGCTGGACTGGGATAAGGCTTTCACAGGGACTAAACCTGTAACAAAGGCCAGCTTCCTTTCAATTTTCAATTCGCTAGTGCAAAGAGTAGATAGCACTAAAGCTCTTGACAGGGAGGGAGAAAAAAAAAGTAGCAGCATTCTTAACAAAATACACGTTTCTCATTCTCAGAGCAGCTTAGTATTTGGGTATTTACTAACATAGCTTCTGAGACATCCCCCAGCCCTCCAGTATGGATAACTAATAACTTTGCATTTCCATACTTCCATCTCTACAAAAAATGCAAGTAAAGCAGTAAAAACGTTGTTTTACCCATTTGCATAAAACACTGTGCCTGAAACACTCTTTATTTTTACTTCACAAATATGCAAGAACACCCTGCTCACCTAGTCAAACTAGTATTACCCTTTTTTTGCCTTAGTCTTATTCTTAGCATGGAACAGTAAAGCCAAAGTTCATGTGCACATATGACCCGGTGAGTCAAAATGATAACTTTACTCAGCATCACTACAAACCCAAGGAAGTAAAACCCTGAGTGTGGTGTTGTGTTTTGTAACTGAGTAAAAGCCCAGCACTCATGCTCAGTGACTACATTACCTCTGACCCAACATTTCGGCGCTTTGCTTTTTTAATAGCTCTGTTCTTCAGGACCTCTTCACTTGCCACAGAGAATGTTCCCACCTTGAAGAGGAAGTTATGGAATCATTAGTGGAATATTCAAAATACACAACATGAAGGGATGGCCAAGATCAGGTTTTGAACACAACTCTAACACTGCTACCAAACAAACAAGGGGAGAAGTTAAAATGCAGCACTGTCATCGGCTTACCAGCTACCTGCAGGTGAGTTGATACTTGGAAAACTCTTTCTGGTTCTGCACTACATTTCTCTTTGTGCTATTTCCATTTTATTAAAACAAATAATGTAAGTTTTGTTTTGCTTTTTTAAAACACAGCTCTAAGATCTCTCTGCTGAAGGGAATCTGTCAGTAATCCACAGTTTGGAACAGTTATATGGAGATGTGGGCTCTAAGGCAACCTCCAGCAGCCTGCTGTAGTTCAAACACTAGCAAAGACAGCTAATGGCTCAGTACCACCCTGCAACAAATGAGGAAATTAAGTTTTCTTATATTCAAATTCCTGGAAGAGTTAGTTTTCTTTTTTACATTTACAGGCCTAAGCGTTTAATACTTTTAGTTGGACAAAAACTAAACCAGTTTGTTTAAATATGAGCCATAAGGGAAGTATGAGACATTAAAGGTGAAAATGTCTTTTTACAATTAGGTGAAACATACCACTCAACTATTTGCCTAATTCCTCCGGCTGTGTGGAGAAATTCAGCTAAAATTAACATAGCTCTAAAATCAGCTATTACTGACCCTCAAAAAATATACTGGAGGCATACAGAGCATTTATCTCCAGAAATCAAATCTGCTTTTAAAGAGTCCAAAAGCATTTTAACAAGCCTGGGGTTCCCTCTAAAAATATTAAGTTCCTTTCTCCAGAACCACTGACGAAATTTTTACTCTTAAAAGCTGTTTTGCTATATGGTCTGCATAACTGGAAGCTTTATAGAAATAATTTTTTAAAAATCCACTTCTATAAAATTATCTTTAATTGCTAAACTTTTAACCAGTTCTACTGTAGGTTTTATGCACAAGATACACAACAAATGTAAACAGCTACTAGCGGGGAACTAATTTGTATTTTACCTCTTCAGCTTCATCCTCTTGGTCCCAGTTTCGGTCAGTCAGTTCCTTTTCAGCAATTCTCTTTGCCATTTTTCCACACTTGTTGGGGAGAAACAAAAAATCCTAGAAAGAATTGCACAGAAATTAAATTCTAAGTGGCAGTGATCTTCAATTTGTATTCTTAGAACAAAAAAACAGGAACTGCAGTTCATATAGAAGCAAGTCAAGATTGGAATGACAACTGAAAACCAAGTGTTGTGGCAAAAACAGCCAACAGCACTTGAGATTCAAGTTGTGGTGATCAGCCATATTCAATCTTAAAGAACAACAGAAATGTACAGTGCAGTTATGGGATAAATATTATTTGGCAGATGGAAAAATTCCTTTCGGAACCATAACTCATATACTCGTATTCTGAAGGGCTACAAAAACCCCAAAGCTGTGGTTAAAACATTCCATATTCCACTCCACATTGCCACCTCAGGATACCTATGTAAGCAGCAAGAAAAAAGGGAGTTGCTTTATAACATCTGAAATAAATACTAATGAGGACCCACTGAATCAGCTGAGCAGAGAGCTTGGTTAAGACCGAAGACAATGCTCTCCTTTAAAAAATTGGACTGGTTGTCCATTACTAATTTGAAAAAAAAATTAAATAAATGAGATTGGCTTTCCTACAAAGGACACATAAGTCATGCCATGGATTTTACAGCAATTACTGTAAGCAAAGAAATCATGATTTTGCTGGTTATCTCTGTGATGTAAAGCAAAATCAGCTTTGCAGAAGGAATGTCTGTAACTGTTCTCAGTCCCATTTTACTAACGTATAACTTATGAGCTGTGTACAAAACCAGAAAAAGAAAACATGGTAGCTGGATTCAGTCTAAAAAACCGGGCAAGCAATCACTGTACAGGAATTTTATGTGAAAAAAGATGTATTTCACTAACTATGGTTATATCTTCTGATACTAAATGTGTGTAAACTTACCAAAGGAAATATGTAGTTTTGTTGCAATTTAAATCTCAAACAAGCACAAAAATTAAAACTCTTCCAAAACCCCCTTGGGTTTGTGATTAAGACCTGCCCAGAAAAAAAAGACAAAAAAAAAAAAAAAAAAAAAAAAAAAAAAAAAAAAAAAAAAAAAAAAAAAAAAAAAAAAAAAAAAAAACCACAAATAGCTGAATTTCAGAGCCAGAAATTGTAACAATATATTGTTACAAGGCATCTTGTTTATATATTGAAACATTTTAGAGCAGCAAATCCAGAAGGACAGCAGTCTTGGGAGATGATACATCCAAGTCCTAAATTTTGTCTGACATATATCACAAATAAGGTCAAGTTACTAGAGCTTCTGGAAGTAGAGGGACAAAGATTGGCTTGTGTATACATATTTAAATGCCCTGATCCACTCTGTCCTGAAAGTAGACATCCTTGCCTGATAACCCCTGGGAGATCATTTCAATCTAACCCACTGAAAAGCTAAAAACAAGTTATTTTAAAGTCACCTTTATTTAAATTATTGTTTCATTATATAATTTTTATATAGAATGTGTTAAATTATGTAATACATTTTAATTTTTAAGTTATAATAAATAAAGGTATTCTGTATATATATGCTGCGTATATTCATATTATGTATATATACTATATATTATACTATAATATACTATAGTATACTATATTATATTAGTATATAATATACTATAATATAATTCATATTATATATAATATACTATATACTATAATATAATTTAAATATATTAGTTTCATTATTACATTAAATATTTGAATTATTGAAAGAGCACATTAACTACAGAGCCTGTCCCCCGCCAAAAGAGAGAAAACCTTGTCTATGTAAGCTCCAGATTCTCTGCACCCACTGGTGTTTGCACAGTTTCTCTTTAAAAGCATTGTAGAGGATCTAACGTGACTCTAACAGAGAACTTGAAGTGAATTCTATCCCGTGAAACAAGAACCAGCACAAACCTACATCTGGTTGGTGTTCACAAACTTCATGAAGCTTTCGGAGCACGTGTTCTGAACAGGCTGACATAGAAGTATTTTGAGAAACGTATCGAATAATCACGGAATATCCCGAGTTGGGAGGGACCCACAAGGATCACTGAGCCCAGCCCCTGGCCCCGCACAGACACCCCAACAATCCCACCCTGTGCATCCCTGAGTGTTGTCCAAACGCTCCCGGAGCTCTGGCAGCCTTGGGCAGTGCCCATTCCCTGGGGAGCCTGGGCAGTGCCAACACGCTCTGCGGGAACAACCTTTCCCGATATCCACCCTGACTCCTCTTCGATTACCAATCACGCTCAAAAACATTTCTGAACACGTTTAAAAACAACGCAGCGCAGCCGCGCTGCTGACCTGCAGAGATAACAACACCCAGCAGCTTCATAGCCTGTTTACCGCTCTCTAGCCAGGCTCGGCGGTCACCCGGGCAGCGAGGCCCGGAGCCGGCGGGGCCGGTGTCCGTGCGGGTCCCGGGATCCCGGAGCCGGCTGCGGGCCCGGCGGGAGGAAGCGGAAGCCACCGCGGATCCGCCGTTCCGCTGCGGCTCCCGGCGCCGCTCGCCCCGTGCCGGCCGCGCCCCGCCCGCTCGCCGCACCGCGCAGCGCTCCGCGCCTTCCGGACCGCAGCGACCCCCGCGCCACTCACTCGCTCGCTCGGGGCTCTCCCGCGGGAGGCGGGGTGTCCGCAGAGGCTGCACGGCCCGGTGCCGCCGGCCCGGCCGCTCGGTGCCGCCGGCACACGCGGGGCTCGCCGCCGCTGCTGCCGCCGCGGCCCTGAGCGGGAAGGCCGCGCCCGCCGCCGGCCCGCGCACCGCGCGTGCGCCCGCCGCGGCCGGCCGCTGCAGTACCGCCGGCGGCCGCGGGGGGCGCCGCCGAGGCGCGTGTGGCTTCCGCCGCCGGCCGCGCTCTGCGCAGGTCCTGCCGGGGCCGCCGGGAGAAATCGGATGTTAGAAGGAAATCTTCATTCTCTGCTTTTAACTGCGTCTTTGAGTGCCGCCTTTTCGTGCTGGCGAGGTACCGGTGCGTCCTCGGCCAGCAGCCTTTTGTGTAAAATAGTCATACAGTTTGGTGGCTGCCCGCAGACATTTCCGCCCCCACGCACATGCTGATAAAAAAAGTTCCTCGCCTATTTATACATTTTTATCAAATATTCCCTGGTTCTGGATTCTATAATTAATCATTGTGAAAAAATGTTTTATAATTGGATTTTCACAGAAGTTACAATGAATATTATATGTGTAATGTTAGAAAGTTAAGCTGTATTAATTCCCTTACGTAGTGTGTTAAATGTAGTTTTAGGTTCCAACAGAACGTTAAAATAGACACTATGTATGTGGGGGAAGTTGTTTTTTGGTTTTTTTAGGGATGAGATACTCGATTCGAGGAACACCTAAATCGTCCAAGAGAAGATAAATCTATTGTTTTCTCATCAGAAGAAGCGAATTTCTTCAGGCCTTGCTCAGACTCGAAAACACCACGGAGATTAAAGGAAACAACATACAACAGACAGAGTTTCTTGTTTAAAATAGAATGTATGCATAACCATAAAGATGTATGAATATGCAACAAGTGTATTGTTTTGAGGTTATTCCTTTATTCACAAGTCATGCTTTTCATGACTTAGTGTCTGAGAGCATCCAGACATCCATAATTCTTTGCCTTTTATTGTCTTGTAATTGTCCTAACTCTAAACTTTTATTACTTTAATTGTATTACTATATTTATAACCATTTTATTATTATTAAACTTTAAAAATTTTTAAAAACCAAGTGATTGGCGTTTTTCACATACATTTTTATCAAATAGCCTCTGGTTCTGAATTCTGTAATTCATCATTTTTTGTGGAAAAACTCTGATCACTTGTTTTTATAAAATCTTTTATAAAGTCATAAAATAGTTATTGAAAATAGTAATAAAATCAGAATAATAAAAATTTGGACAATGAGGATTAGAACGCTACGAGACAATTAAAAACAAAGCATTAAGGATGTCTGGATGTTTTTGGGCACTGAGCTGCCAAAACCATGCCTTGTGAACAGAGGAATAACCCTTACAAGTAACAGCCTGTTGCATATTCATATATCTCATACATTATGTATAAATTCTTTGCAAATTAAGAATTTTTTCTGCTTTTTGTCAGCTTCTTCCCCTTAATCCTGGTGGTTCCATAAAGAGGGAGAGAAGGTGGAAAAATGTTTTTTCCAGTAAGGAGCCAGTACCTCTTTATGTGCCCTGTCGCTGTTATCTCTGCAAAGAGTTTCTTAATTATCTTCTCCCTTTTCTTGAGCTAGTAAAAAAAAAAAATCTTACATCATAGTTTCTATATTAGCATTATGTTATAACCTAGAGCTATATTTAACACAATACTTAAGAGAATTAATACAGCATAACTAACATTACACATATAATATTCATTTTAATATTTGCAAAGAGTCAAGAACGAGTATCTCATTCTTTTAAAGAAAACTCCACATACATGGTTTCTATTTTAACTACAAAACTACATTTAACATACTATTAAAATGTTAATACAGCACTTCTAATCAATATAGTATAATACGTATAGTATTGAATTTAATATTTGCGAAAAGCCAATCATAAAAAGTGCATTTTTCAGATATCATGTTGAAATGTAAGAAGCAGGAAAATAAAAAGGTCTTCTTTATTAAAATACATTTTTTATTTAACTAAACATTTTCTCCACTGTTTGCACATTTTCGTCCAGAAGTGTAGCTTTTTTCATTGCTTTATCTGTCAACTTTTATTTATTTTAAGTAGGGCACTTGCAGTGCTGAAGGGAAAGGCTATTTGTAAAATGTTCTTTCAATAAGAAATAAGGAGTTTTCCAGGGTCACTTAATAGGATTCCAGGCATTTCCCCTATCACAACCACCCTACTCCAAAGAGTAACTTTTTCCTTGCTATCAGATAAATGCAAAATTTGAGAGAGTTTATATAATGTATATTTATGAAACTGGATCTTTCCATTGCTCTTCAAACACCAGCCAGGAAGAAAGTCTGGTATTTGCTTTGCTCAGTTTGCAGCCATTGCATTTGTCCATCTCAATAATCAGCTACACTGTGAACACACTCTGTTTGAATTAGGGATAATTAAGATAAGGTCTGCTGCACAATCTGCCACCTGTTTCTCTCGCCATCATTCACACAGGTGAGGCCACTTCTGTGGCTCTGTAAATAGAAGGTGATTCCACTGCCTTTTCCCAGGAGATGGGAGAAACTCTTCTGGCAGCCAAGCTGGCTGGAGAGTCAACACGGTGAGTATAGCATTATAATAACTGTCTGAAATGAGAATTATAAACTGCAGAATTCTTTAGAAAAGTAGAGCAAACATTTTTTAGAAAATAACTTTGAAATAAATGTTAAAGTGAGGGCTCTAAGGAGATTTTCATTTAAGGGTGCTACATTTGATGTCTGAATTATTTGAAACTGCTATTTGCTTTTCTTGCAATCAAATATTTCAGGAAAATGGTATTCATAGCTATTGTACAAGATATTTTCTAAGTCCTTGTGATTCAAATATAAAAAAATCAAGAAACATTGTGATTTCCTCTCATCTTGTACTTTATTTTTCATACTCCAAGATAATAAAGCCCTTATTTCACATCTAGAAATACTTGAAATAATATGCTTTACAGGTAGGAAAGAGGCTTAGCAGCAGTTAAGCTATTATTTTCACTAAGCCAAATAATAGGCTTTAATAAAAAGCCTCTTCTTAGCTGCGTTGTCCATTGTTAACATGACTACATCAGTCCTGTATTATTCCTATTTTGAAGGACTCTTGATGGTGCTTTTTTCCTCATGAGAGTGGTGATCTGTGTGTTAGGAGCTGGTCCTGACTGATGTGCCAGTGGTGCCTGTCCATGGAAAGCCAGTTTTTCCCCAGGCAGCCTGTGACAGCTGGTGCACGTGGGCCAGTCATCCCAATACAAAGTGCATGGCAACTGAGATAATCTTGCTGAAAATCTTGCAGTGAAAAGTTTGCAGTGCACCTGGGATTACAAGAGCTTTGGGTTTTCGGTGTATTTGTGAAGATAAAAGGAGGGTTTAATACTAAGTGAGGGGATCATTGGTGCTGGGGCAGCATTAATGATGTTGTCTGCATTAACCATAGCTGAAATACACACTGAATATTTTTAATGCAAAACCTTTCATTTTTCTTAACATGGCTGTCTCCACACATCCTTGGGGTTGAGCATTGCATGTTAAAGTGTAGAGCCTGCTGATTCCCATCTTCCCCAAGTTCAGCAGCCTTTGGATCAAAAACCTGCCGGAGTGTGTTCTGGAGTGTCCAGTAGCTTTCTTAAACCAATTTATTACATCTTTGGAGCCAGAAGAGAGCAGAGCACAAGAGAATTATGTTTTAATGCAGTAAAAGAGCTGCATGCCTCTTTCTTACCCTAAGGCCTCTGTTCTGTGATGCAAAGTAACAGAAATTTTGCTTCTTCAGATCCCACCGTAGGATCAATGTGCTTTGTTCTCTGTGGAATTTCTTTAGGGAGATTCTTTTAGTGTGACTGCAGATTGTAACTGTTGTCATTCTTTTGGATCAGTTTGCTCCCAGATTGGCAAATTCAGCTGTGTTAACATTGCTTGTGATCTGTCATAGGCTAGAGATTATTACATGTATTACTTGACTGTTAGGGCTTGATCTTATTTCAGTAGTTGCTGCTTTCTCTCTGAGAGTTACTTTCAGCTAGACCCTTCTCCAGACCTGGCCAAGCCTGCGGTCTCAGAACTGTTGAATTGGCAATAACCTCTCAAACTGATGAAGACAATGTTGGGAGGAGTATAGAAGAGTTAGAACAGGAGTGAAAACTAATTTCTTAGTCATCAAATCTACTGTTTCCAGGAAATAAATGTATTTAGTCACACCTTGAGAGCAGCATCATACAAGGGAAGTGCAAAGATCTTTCAGTGACCCATCCAGAGTGGTGTGGAGGAGAAGAGCCAGCTGCTATTTTGTCACAGTTTTTCTGTGTGAATCGTTTTTTTGCCTTATACCTTTGGTTATTAATATTTTTGCTGTTGCAGTTCGTTTTCTTATTTCATTCCTGCTTCCAGTATATTGTTCATTTTTGCTTTTTTGTGCCTCCCCAGAGTGGGAAGAGGGAGGGGAAGGATGGGGCAAGCCAGAGGTGTCTGCTTTGGGAGAGTCTCGAGGAGGGGGCACACCAAACTGGGGAGTGCCATTCCTAAACCAGGACACCTATAAAATACATTATCACTGATGATTAAAAATTAACTTTATGTCCTTTGCAGCCTATGCAAAGTTATTGACTAACCTGGTCCTTACTCTCTTTCAGGTAGTCAAGTGCCAGTGAGAAAGGACTACTCCGAAATTCCACTGTGTTTTGATGAACATCCTGTCTCAAGGTGAGTGAGTTCATACAGAATGCTGTTCATGAGTTTTTCTCCCCTTAAGGAACTATCCCAAATAAACTGCAGGAAAATGTTAACGT